ATAAACACACACCATCAGAAAGAAGGGACTATGAGTGTCATCAATAGGATACTGTGTTTGATGAACATACCGTATTTCCTCATCGAAACACCTACTCCCAATAAATGCCCGTACCTGTATAAATGCCTAGAAACAGCATAAAACATTGACAATAAATGCCCATGCTTGTTTAGATGCCTATGCCACACCCACTTTGCCCACGTGGTTACTGGTACACACTACAGGCAACATAGCAGTTGTAGCTGAGAAGGAAGCTCATAGAAGAAGACTCCTCGGCAATGAATTTAAATGTCTATCCTCATATAAACACCTACTTCGTTTAAACACCCAGCAAACGGGTCTCTATAAGAATAAATGCCAGTTGCTTCCATGAGGAAATACGGTAATTACATAATATTAATATAATAAACTGATTTATAACTAAACTGCAGGTACTTTTACATTATACAAGTCATAATAATACACTAGTCACTACATCATACACTTACCGCATCAGGATTTCTATAATTGATATTTGCCCCATTAGAGAGGGCAGTTTTCATTCTTTCAATGTTTCCTTCATAAGCAGCATAATACAAGTGTTCTCCCTATAGTATTAACAAGTAAATGAGTGTATTATTAACAGTTAATATAATAGTAATATTAATCACTCCTATGTCTCATTATCATTCAAACACAAAATCCACAGAATATGTAACCAGTGACAATAACAGACTATAAACAACACATAAACAACACATGTACATATAATAACAACTTTTAATGGAAAAATACACAAACAACTGAGCCATTCATTTACATGTACTTGAATAACATATGAGAGTATTTATTGACAGCGAGAAATTTTAGAGAAATTGTCTATATTGATAGGTTGGCCAATTAAATTTTGGTAAATTCATTAACTCCTAACAAGTGGCAGCTAATAATTAACAATAATTTGTGAGCTTTAATTTGGAGTATTCTTGTAATTTAAGGACTTGACAAATTTCATCCCTCACCAATAAATCCTGCAATACAGTAAATGTACATGTATATCCTTATAAGGAAAGAGAGTGTCCCTCCCTCTACAAAGAGTGTGTCTGGTGTATTAGTATACATTGAATCATTGAGTATCTATGACTGGACACATAAGTAGGACTAGGACTAGGGTAGTAGGAGGAGGAACACCTAGTGACAATATTACATAAATACCCAGTGGAACAGATACAAACTACTACACTACTAGATGAGGGTCCCATTACTGACATTGTTATGATAACACATTATACTATCTACAATACACTGGACTAATGTTTACTGGTATTCCTAATTTAGTGGATTTCATGCATGATCTAACACAATTTGTAAATAATTAAATTCCAGCTAGGAAATTCAATTATGCTTAGTATAATTAATCCTGGACCAAAAAGGAGGTTTCAATCTTCATAATATACACATGAGGTTATTCAATGTTTAATGTACTTAGTTCCACCAGAAGTAAGGTTGAAAGATGAATGAGGTAATGTATGGTAATAGACCAGACCCTTGCTTTGTAGAGGGAGGGACTGGCTATGGCTTATAGGATAATTAGCTAGTAAGATGATCAAAATGACTAGGAAAAATCTATACACTCGTACAGGTAAGCTCCATCAATACTTCTTTGAAAATCATTAAATCAGTATGATACCAGTTAATTTTCGTTGCAGAAAGAAATATTTTACAAATCATGCCTTTTTACTCCATGACAAAAAGTCACCACAAAATTGTGCATATCCATCGCTGTGTTGCACAGTCTGCAAGCTATATTTGCAAAAGTAAATTGCGCAAAATCTTAGAAAAACAAATTTTTCACTGCAAAAAAACTAGTATCGGGTACTCTATACTAGTTCAACTGGTTGCACTCAAAAGTTGCAAAAAGGGCAAATGTTGATAGTTATAGAGGATGGTCCTGTATATAGTATAATATTAGTGGAGTGAGAGTGGGCTCCTTTCACTGTCCCTCTCTCACAGGCACTTCTCCTCTCATTCACAGGCAACACTAACACACACTATCACTATACAGTCTATTCATTGATAACTGATACCAAACATATAGATCAATACTTCCTCAAATAGGACCCATAGCTCATAGTACCCACTGGGCCACTGAGTACTGGACCAACTGATCAACCAGACCCAGGGAGAATTAACAGGGACCAACAATATCAGGCCCGGCCACAAAAAGGAGAAGTAGGACCCACAAGTTTTAATTGATCTCAGAGCTTTTCTGAGCTTTTTCATTTTTGATTATACCCATGCATGTGCATCCAAAATTATC